CAAATCATTTGCAATCATATCATTTTCAGTTTCCGGACAAGAACAAAATTATCAAGTGCAATATGTGGACTCGGAGCTGTACCACAGCAACTCCAGCCAGACCCAAATGTAAGTTCATCCTCCTAATTCCACCGCTCGATCCGCAAGTGTAACGTTTCGCCTGCACACAGGACATATCCGTTCTGCCCGGTGGGCGACTACCAGAGCAATGGCCAGACGTATTACTCCACCACGGCGGCGACGGGCAATTATACGACCACGTCGGCGGGCAGCTCTGGCAATGCACACTCGACGACGCTGCCGTACCTGGTGCCCGTGGACGATAGCCTCCTGTTGAATGGGTCCTCGCAGTCGCACAGCCGGGACTCGCCGCACAGCCTGTCGGTGAGTGAAGTGAAAATGAAAATGAAATTGAAAAATCCAAAACCCAAAACCCAAAACAATCGAGCCACTGTATGACATTGACTAACGGTTGCAGCATGAGGTTGCCTACATACAGGAGGCGCAGAGCACGCCCCAGACGCCCACCTCGACAACAACCACAAACTCGGCCAGCGGCGGCAGCATCGGCAACGGGGCCGATGGGGCGTCGCCTGACAGTGACCAGAGTGCGATGGGCACCAGCAATAAAATTGCCTCGGCAACGGTGAGTACGGGTCCGTTTTTGCTCCGCCTGTCGCCAACAGCAACAGGAGCAGCAGCAGCAGCAGGGGGAGCAGGAGCAGGAGGGGCAGCAGCAATAGCAGCGTTGCTAACATCTCTCTCGCACAATTGCAGATTAAGTGGCTGTCGCGCAACTACGAGACGGCCGACGGAGTCAGTCTGCCACGGTCCACGCTGTACAACCACTACATGCAGCACTGCAACGAGCAGAAGCTGGAGCCAGTGAATGCAGCCAGCTTCGGCAAGCTAATACGCTCCGTGTTCTCCGGCCTGCGCACACGTCGCCTGGGCACTCGCGGCAACTCCAAGTACCACTATTATGGTATTCGCATCAAGCCCGGCTCGCTGCTAATCCATCAATCCATGGAGGACAAATCTATGCAGGGATACGGCGCATCGCCGGGCCACGGCAACGGCAACGGCAACGGCAATGGAGCCATCGCCAGTGTCAGCAGCAGCAATGCCAACCAGCTGGGCAGCTCCAATGGCAGCAATGGCATGTCCACATCTTCGGGTCAGCGCACAGCCGGGGCCAAGAAGCACAATTTCAAGCCGGAAACCTACGAGGCTTGCATACAGGTATGCTCTACCGGAACTTTCCATTTCAACGGATTATTCATTTCGGATGCTTACTTCTGTATTCCAGTATATTGGCGACGGTGCCGGCGCCATGCCCGTATTTCCGCCCATCGAACTGAGCCACAGCTTTCACAGCGAACTCACCCTGGACGATGTGGACACGTTCCGTGCGCTGTACCGTGAGCACTGCGAATCGTTTTTGGATGCTGTACTCAATCTCGAGTTTGGCACTGTCGAATTTTTGCTACGCGATTTCTGGCGCACCTCGGACAACAACAATCTGGACGAGTGCGAGGAGGAGAAGTACTTGAGCAAGACGAAGCTGTATCTGTTGTGCCACTGCGCAGAAGTGCAAAAGTTTGTGCGCGAGGTGAGTACAATGGATGCCGAGAATGTCGAATGTTTGTGCTATGGCAACACGGGAGCTAATATAAATCAGAGAGATAATGGAAACAGAATGTAACATAGAAAGGATCTCTAATATAAGCCCACTATTATATATATATTGGAGAGCATCATTTGAAAATGGTTTCGATAGGACTAAAGAATATTAGTACAAAGTCTAAAGTACTTCCAATTATCATAGACTGAATAGTATCTAGGTCCTAGAGCAGGTCAGGTAAATTATATACATTTTTTATTAGCAGGGATAAATGATCTAAATTGTATCATCAGTAGGGGGTCGAGAGTAGCATATACTATAATTATATTTACGCGATCTAAATTGTGCTATCACTGGAGGTGTATCGTATGCTGAGGTACAGGCCAAGATATAAATTTAACAAATAAAGTAGATATAAAGGATATAAAGAACACTTTCTGAGCTAAAAATTATTTATAAGTATACCATATTTGATCTAAAGCATCCTTGTGATAAGAACTTCCATAAAAGAACTTTTGTTATGTCAAACTAAAATTGAATTCCCTCTTCAACCAGGTGGACTATCAATTCTATCAAAACACGGTGGACGTTATAATACCGGATGTTTTGCGCTCGATACCCAACGCGCTGACTCAGGCCATTCGCAACTTCGCCAAGAACCTGGAGTTGTGGCTGTGTGAGAGCATGATAGGCGTGCCGGAACAGTTGTCCCAGATCAAGACTAGCGCCGTTTCTGCATTTTGCCAGACGCTGCGTCGCTACACATCGCTGAATCACCTGGCACAGGCGGCACGCGCCGTTCTCCAGAATGGTGCGCAGATATCCCAAATGCTCAACGATCTGAATCGCGTGGACTTTCACAATGTGCAGGTATGTTGGCTAACTTGAACCTTACGGCTAAATGAGAGGGAAACTGATTTGATTCTATTGCAGGAGCAAGCCGCCTGGGTGAGTCAGTGTGCTCCGGCTGTGGTGCAACGTCTGGAGAGCGACTTCAAGGCAGCCCTGCAGCAGCAGAGCTCACTGGAGCAGTGGGCCAGTTGGCTGCAGCTGGTCGTCGAGTCCGCGATGGAGGAGTACACAGGGAAGCCGAGTTACGCACGTGCCGCCCGCCAGTTTCTGCTCAAGTGGAGCTTTTACAGCTCCATGATCATACGGGACTTGACGCTGCGGTCCGCGTCGAGCTTCGGCAGCTTTCACCTGATTCGACTGCTGTTCGACGAGTACATGTTCTACCTGGTGGAGCACAAGATCGCCGAGGCGCAGCAGAAGACAGCCATTGCGGTTATTTGTGAGCGCATGGTAAGCCCCTAGGTGCCCAGGCACCCACTAACGCGAGTGCCATCTATTAACTGTCCACCTTTGATCAGAAGAAGGAAATGGACTTTGAGTTCGAGTGCCAGTTCGCCTACATAACTAGCGACGGGGAGCAGCAGACAGCGGCCAGCTCGGTCAGCGGTCCGGCAGTGGTGGCAGCAGCAGCAGCCGCAGCCGCTGGAGGAGCCCCAAGTGCGGGCAACGAGGCCAAGCGCCTGAAGCAGGAATGAGAAATGAGCCCTGCTCGCCCGAATCGACAGAGTATTTGTATTTGTAGAATTTGTGTTAACCTAAATTATTCGGCTATACCCATTCGATGTGCACGACTCCCAAAGCAAAGTTCACTTCACCTGTGCATTTAATAGTCAACGGGATGTTTCTGTGTATGTATGTATTCGTGTATTGTTAGGTTGTAACTTAAGTTCTGCTCAGCTGTTAACGTAATCAGTTAAAGTATACATGTGTGTATATCTGTATGTACATATATGTACAGTCAGACATATGTATAGGCAAATGCATAAATAATGAAGATGAATTGCCCCCGCATTCAAGTGAAGAACCGTCCAAGCAGCAAGCTAGTCATGCCCCTGCAGCGTTGACCTTGTCTGATGATCTGTTTATGTAATCGCACGAGATGCATTTTAGTTTAGTAAGTACATGTGCATTAGTATTTGTGAACGTAGCGTCTAACTGAACTACTACTATACTATACTTGTGTTAGCTCTTAAGGAAAGGCGTATTGTCACAACAGTTTTGTCTGGTTTCAATGATCAATTGTACAGCATAGCGCTCGGCGCGTACATGCAAAAAGCACATACACTCACACATACACATTTATATATATTTATGTATACAGACGTAGGTACGCACAGGTAAAGATCCACCAAATGCACCAATTGAAAACTGTATAGACTAGTTAAGGAAAAGTTTAACTCATGCTGAAACGGCTTGCTCAATGCTAGAAGTAAAACCTATTTTAATCTATGTGAACAACAGGCCTTAAATGTGCAAATATCAACACACTCAACTTTGAAAAAAAAGGAATAACTAATTTGAAGAGACCGAAACACTGAAACATTTTACGATATACCTATGTGCGTGCATATGTGTGTGTGTCCGAATACCAGCACATATTTATTCAGATACAAATATAAATAGTTATTTATACATATACATACACATATTGAAAGTGCAACTGAGGATTTGTATTGTAATTCCTGAAGCATATACAAACAGACAAGAACGTATATATATATATATATATGATATAAATTGATATATTTTAACAGAGGCACCCAACAAAGTATTTTATGCCATTTTAGGTATTTATTGTAGCAACAAAACCTTTTGTAAGCCATTCAACTAGATTAGTTCAATATAAGTGAAATGCAAAGAAACTCTAGTCTTAAACTGAAAGAATTGAAAGAGATCACAAAAAAAGAAAGAATCAATATTTTATGTTACTCTCGGCAAGATCCGAGTTGTACCCCATATGGAAAATCATAAACAACCCATGCAGCCTAAAGCATATAATACTCTCGGTACATAAGGCTCGAGAGCCATAAATTCGTGTATATTCATATTATTCCTTTTGTGCTAACGCCCTCTAAATTTTAAAATCTATATGTTTCCCAATATTGTGTTGTGTGACCTATCTTTAAGGATTGACATTTAAGATATCCCTGCACAATGCGAAGCTCAAAGTCCTTCAGTTTACCCACAAGCTGTAACTCGGTCCGATTTGGCTTGGCTCAGATTTTATAGAAACCAAATATCGGACCACAAACCATTTCGATTGCTCAAGTAAAGCAATATTTATAATAACGAAATATTATATTACGAAATTCATTGCTCAATTTGCAAATACTAAGCTGAACTCTTGAGCTTTATTGGTTGTAAAACAGGAAACAAAATATAACGATAATAATTGGAATATCAATTCAAATCGAATCTACCTATTTATAAATGTGAAAATAAAGATGTCTAAAAAACAACGAAAAAAAAGCGACTGACTTTGTGTTTATTTGGGAGCAGATTATTTAACGTTTGTTATTTTTATTTAAAACAATATTTCCCGGCAATATCATCACTGAAGATACCAAATCTCAGTCTACACAAAGACATAAGTACATATGGAGTAACACACAGCAAAACAGACATTACACAAAACGAATACGCGTATACTCTTTTCGCTTTGTAGGGTATAGAATGCATGTAAACATCTTAGGCGGTCTGAATAAGGGATATAAAAGAGAAA